TTATTGGGGGAGGGGTTTGAATATCTAGATGGTATAGTAACATAACACACCATTTATTTGGGGGAGGGTTGAATAAGTTGATAGTGGAGCCGTAACACGCATATTGTGTGGGCGAGAGGGAGGGTGTAAGAAGGCTGCACCTGCCCCTGTATTAAATGCTTCAAAATTTTCAAAACAGAAAAGAGAAAGAACAGTAAACGTCGAGTGAGATACAGGCCAGCAGGGGGCGCCACATTCGGCCAACAGAGGATGCTGCACAAACCAGCGGCGCACGGACAAGTTTGGAGCACACTGTGATTGGCTGGCAGATGGCGCCACAATCGGCCAGGAGGGGTGCCATGCTCGGCCAGGAGGGGGCGCCACACGGATCAGCAGAGAGCGCCACGATCGTCCGGCAGGGGGCGCCGCGCGCTGCACGTACCTGGAGCGCGACGAACAGGTGGCCCTGGTACTTGTTGACGACGGCGTACTCTTCGACGTCCCGATCCTCGAACCACGCGCGCGGCGTGAGAAAGTCGCGCGGGTTCGCGAGCCCGTTAGCACCTGCGCTAACGAGCATGGCTGTTAATTACGGACGAAGCGGGGAGGGGGGTCGTTAACGAGCACGCGGATGTTAGTTGTGGGCGAGGGTGTTAATGAGCGCGGCCGTTAATTACGGACAGAGCGGGGGGGTCGTTAACAAGCGTGCGGATGTGAGTTGGGGGCAGGCGTTAACGAGCAGATGCTAATGAGAATAGTGTTAATTATTACAGGCAGGTGTTAACGAGCAGATAATAACGAGCACAGCTGTTAATTACAGGGTGTTAACGAGCAGATAATAACGAGCACAACCATTAATTACAGGCTGGTGTTAACGAGCACAACCGTTAATTACGGGCAGGTCTTTACGAGCAGATGCTAATTATTGGTAGGGTGTAACGAGCACATCATTAATTAGGGGCAGGTTGTAACGAGCATGAACATTAATTAAGAAAAGACGTTAACGAGCTTGGAGGTGATTATGGGCAGGCATTAAATGAGCATGGCTGTTAATAGTGGGTAAACATTAGTGAAAGGTGTTAATTACGAACAGCTATTAAAGTACAGGTGTGTTAAATACAAACAGGTGTTAAAGTACAGGTGTGTTAAATACAAACAGGTGNCCCCTCCCCTCCCCTCCCCTCCCCCTCCCGCATGCGCAGCCTCCGTACCGATCAATCATCGACGCGTTGCAGGCGTAGATATGGATCGCGAGACCGTTCCTCGTCATCGCGTCCCCGGCACCCGCCAGCGTGTGCAGGCCCTGAAACAAGTGAACAATCGCACACATCGCACGAGTTTTTAGTGAAATTTTTTTCGAGAATCTAGAAACTCGCCGAAGCTGACGTCAGCCCTTCCCATCATCGCTTCGTTCGCAACTAAGCGTTCGAATTGCTAACTTTCTCCTTTCTAAGACCTGACCTCCGTATATATCCATCTATGTTACGAAAAGAAGGTAATAAGTAGAAGAATAATTCATCGACGACACAAACGTCAGTACATTACTCTATGA